ACCATCCGGGCCTGCTATTTGCCCCCCGGGGCGGTGGGGCAGGACAGCGCCATCCCGCCTGCCCTGCCACCATCCGGGCCTGCTATCTTCGACCCGGGGCGGCAGGCGTCCCGTGTGCGACCCGACCCAAGGCGGCGGGCGGGACAGTGTGGCTCCTCTGTCACCCCAGCTTCCTCATCACAGCTCCCTTTGGGGCCTAAGCCTTTAGTCAGACATCCCCCGAGGGCTCCCTGGCTGCCAGAAGGATGTCTGACTGCAAGCTTAGGCCTGATCCCCCGGGGAGTGGGCCTAAGTCGACAGATGGACATCCCCCAAGGGGTCCTGGACTGCAAATGGGCGCAGGCTGGGCTGAGGGACCCCCTCCGAGTGCACAAATTTTTGTGCACCAGGCCTCTAGTACCTCAATAAAGCTAGAAAAAAAGTAAATGTATAAAATTGCTTCATATACTTCCTGGTGAGATTAGACAAAAAGAATACAATAATAAAACAAATAAATATATTGGAGGTTATAACAGAAGGCTGAATGTGAACACTGTGGATATCTACACAACTGATTTCAACTGCAAATGTATTTGTGGTATTCCATATTCACAGCCTGAATTAATCCAACATTCTTTTCACCTCAAATTCTGAAATTTTTCCTAGTCTGCCAGCCTCTAATGCTGTGCTTTTCTTTTTCTTCTCATGATCTCACTTCAAAATAAACTCTACAATGTAATCTATTATTTTCCCCCAAAAATACTAAATTTCCATTGCACATTAAATATTCCAAAAAAGAAAACAGAAATGTCTAGGTCAACACACTATCAAATAGGTTCTAAGATATTATCAAAATATCCCAATGGCCCTGGCCAGTTTGGCTCAGTCGATGGACTGAAGGGTCCCGAGTTCGATTCTGGTCAAGGGCACATGCCCAAGGGGCTCGATCCCCAGTGGGGGGCATGTGGGAGGCAGCCAATCAATGATTCTCTCTCATCATTGATGTTTCTATCTCTCCCTCTCCCTTCCTCTCTGAAATAAATTTAAAAAAATAATAATAATAATAAATAAAAGATTTACTCTCTCAAAAAAAAATCCCAATGAAAAACAGGTGATTAATAATATTTCTAACTTAGAAAAATTAAATTATTTCCAACTGTAATCACGTTTCATTTACAACTTTCACAGTGCTTTTGTTTTATAGTAAGTAATCTTATCTCTTCTCTATATAATCACATTAGGACATTTAAAATAACTTTTAAACCAGAGCAGAAGGAAGTTCAACTTTACAATATTATCAATCCTCAGATTAAAACAATGTAAGGATGTTTTAAGTAATACTGTAGCCCACACTTTGGTAGAAATTAAATCAGTTGCTCTCACCTCATTTTTCCTTTTGAAGTAATATCCACTCGAATGGGATCAAACCTGTAAGCAGGAGATATAACTTCCACTACATAAGATCCAGAGGGTATATCATGAACCACAAAACTCCCATCTGTCCTGGAAAAATGAAAATCATATTTAGTCATTTCTGATCAGTAGCTTATTCTTTTCTAATGTTTTAGATCATCTTGTTAACCCACAAATCAACTCCCCCAAGAATGACATTCAGAGTAATTAGAAAAAAAATACTCCCAAATTAGCAAAAGTTGCCCCATGCTTCAGCTTCCATAATTACACTGAATGGGTTCTGAAAATACCCCAGACATTCCACAGTAGCAGAGAACCCTGACATAGAAAGTACTTCTATTCCCTCTGTGGGACAGAGATAACAGGCACAGAAGCACAGTTCCTGTTCTGAAGCCATGTCTTCATTCAAGGAAACTATCAATATACATTACTAGAGGCCTGTGCACCAGTGGGGTCCCTCAGCGTGGCCTGCAGGGATCGGGCCGAAACCGGCAGTCCAAGATACCCCAAAGGATTTAGTAGGTTCGTTGCGCTCCGAGCGCCCATCCTAGGGCAATACCGGCACGCCGATGACCGAGAAGCGGCTGTGGGCTTGTGCCCAGTCAGTCCCGATGCCCGTCCGATGCCAGTCTGATCCCAGTCTGGTCTGGATGGGGGAGGGGTGTGCAGGCAGAGTGTCCGCAGGAGAGGCTCACAACGCCCCAGCTGCACTCGCCCACTCACCCGCCCACTCACCTGTGAGCCCAGCATCTGGCACCTGTCGGTCAGTTGAGCGATGCTCCTACTTTGGGTGCGCACTGACCACCAGGGGGCAGCTCCTGTGATGAGCATCTGCCCCCTGGTGGTCAGTGCACATCATAGGGATTAAACAGTCAAAAGGTTGCTTAGGCTTTTATATGTATCGATTACTACAATATTAGTAGTTCCAATTTTGCCAATCGTCTCCAACAAATTCTTAATTAAAATGGCTTTTTTTTTCTAATTTTAATTTGCACTCTGTTGTTCTCCTTTCTTTTTTTGTAGTTAAAACCATCCACCTTGGACTGAAGGGTTGGGGGTTCTATTCCAGTCAAGGGCACGTATATCTCAGTTGCAGGCTCAATCCCCACCCTGGTCAGGGCACATGTGGGAGGCAACCAATCAATGTTTCTCTCTCATGTCAATGTTTCTCTCTGTCTCTCCCTCTCCCTTCCACTCTCTCTAAAAAAAAAAAAACCCCAAAAAACATGGAAAAGATATCCTCTGGTGAGGATTAACAAACAACAATAACAAAAAATACCATCTATCTTTTCCTAACTGATTTCTTCTAAACTTTCTGGGTTTAAAAAACCACCCTATTAAGGGCTAATTTCATGGTCACAGATCAAAATTAATTTGTTTTGATAATGAGAAACTGCATTCTGAGGAAAAAGAATTTTCTGTTTCAGGAAAACAAATGATTGTTTCTAAAGGACCAACTTTATCAGAAAATTCCCAGTATCATAATAATATTTTAAAATAATGTTTCTTATCACCGAGCTCTTCTACTGTTAAAGGAATAATTGATTCCTGTCACTTCCACAATATTTACTAAAAAAGAAAGAGAAGTTATTCCTTGCTACTTCAGAGTACACACTAAACTAAAAACAGAATTGAAATGTAAACACCAAGATAATTTTATTCCTAAACTAGATGTTCCATTTACCCTTCAAATCCATTCTCCACGATTCTCTTCTTGGTACACTAGAGGAAGAGAAGAAAAGGAGCTTAGGAACCCCACCTCCTCTTAAGGCAGTCCTTTCTTCCCATCTAGCTTCCAGTAACCTTTACTTCCCTTCCTCTTGGAGATGATAATAATAGCCTTGAGGCTGTAAATGTTAGAGCTGTCCCCCTACACCAGTGGTCGGCAAACCTCGGCTCATGAGCCACATGTGGCTCTTTAGCCCCATGGCATGGGCCACGAAGTTTCAATCGCACTGTATGTGCGCGCCTGCATGTGGTATTTTGTGGAAGAGCCACACTCAAGGGGCCAGTTTGCCGACCACTGCCCTACACCATGACAACACTGTTTAATCTTTTCATTAAGCTTTCCTAGAATTACCTAATTTGAGTGTATCTTCTGTTTCTTGATGGGACCCTAACTAAATAAATCTCAAAACATTTTTCTCGGTCCAAAAAAACCCACATCAGAATTGAACCAATGACTGTGCAACATAAATAATAGCAGACTAATTGCCTAAAGAAAATGCAAATAGATTTTTCATCCTAAGGTAAATATTTTACTTTATAAAGATAAGTTTTATAATGAAAAATTTAAACTTGGCTTTAAAACTGTACAATATGTAGACCTTCCTTGCCAGATCTTGATTTGAAATAACAAATACAAAAAAGCATTCATTCATTTATTTATTTGTTTGTTTACTTACTAAAGGCTGGGGAGGGGGGGGAGGTCCCTCAGCCCGGCCTGCACCCTCTTGCAATCCGGGACCCCTTGGGGGATGTCCAACTGCCAGTTTAGGCCCCATCCCACTGCCGGATCAGACATCCCTCTCACAATCCAGGATTGCTGGTTCCTAACCACTCGCCTGCCTGCCTCCTCGCCCCTAACCACTCTGCCTGCCTGCCTCATCACCCCTAACCAATCGCCTGCCTGCCTAATGGCCCCTAACCGCTCACCTGCCTGCCTCATCACCCCTAACCACTCTGCCTGCTTGCCTAATCACCCCTAACTGCTCACCTGCCTGCCTGATTGCCCCTAACAGCTTCTGCCTTGCCCCCCCCCCAAGGTGGCTGTCCAGTCTAATTAGCATATTACGATTTTATTATTATAGATTTATTTTGTTAATCCTCACCTTAGGATTATTTTTCCATTGATTTTTTTAGAGAGAGTGGAAGGGAGGGGGAGAGGAAGAAGGGAGGGAGGGAAGGAGAGAAAAAAAGGGAAGGAGGAAGAGACACACACATAGATGTGAAAGAGACACACTGACTGGTTGCCTCCTACACTCACCCCAACCAGGGCCTGGTATTGAACCTGCAACCCAGGTACATGTCCTTGACCATGAATCAAACCCAAGACCCTCCAGTGCACAGGCCAATGCTCTAATCATTTAGCAACACCGGCCAGGACCATAAAAACATTTTTAAGATAAGTAGGAAAACAAAAATGGACTGGGTAGCCCTAACGGGTTTAGCTCAGTGGGTAGAGCATCGGCCTTCGGACTCAAGGGTTCCAGGTTCGATTCCGGTCAAGGGCATATACCTTGGTTGTGGGCACATACCCAGTAGGGAGTTTGCAGGAGGAAGCTGATTGATGTTTCTCTCTCATCGATGTTTCTAACTCTCTATCCCTCTCCCTTCCTCTCTGTAAAAAAAATCAATAACATGTATTTTTTAAAAATGGACTGGGTATTATTAGATGAAGTTATGGTATTAATAATTTTGTTGAATCAATAATGGTATTGTGTTATTTTTTAAGACTTCATCTTCTAGAGATACAAAATAATGTTTTTATAAGTGAAATCATATCTTTAGGATATTTAAATAGTCTAGAAAAAAACAAATGAAGTATAGGAGACACGTTAAACAAACAGTAGATTGTGATAGGTACCTAAGGATTCACTAAGCCATTGTTTATTTTAGTTCATGTCTGTAATTGTCTATAATAAAAAGTTAATGAAAGTATAGTACATAATCTGCCTGTCAAAAATTGAAAACTACCACGCTAGCCAGTTTGGTTCAGTGGATGTATATAAATTATGGTTTATATATATAGTGATAAAAGCAAGAAGTGGCATGGGGAATCCTCAAGCCCAACTCCTTTCATCTCTACTAACCAAGTCCCAAATAACCTCCAACAAGCATAAATAGAAATCAAAACTGCATGCTGGTTATGCATAACAGGTACAAGACAAATTACCTATCCCTCTTCCAACAAGTTTGCCAGGACAAACTCCTTATATTAATTCTTAATCAAACTTTCTACACACAGATGTAAAAACATAAAATGGTATCAGGAGCTGCTCACAAAATATTAAGCAAAAAAAGCAGGTTACAAAGTGTATATGTTGTATTTTACTATTAAAAATATAGGACATATGATTCCAAAAAGGCTGGAAAAGACACAATGAAATATTAAGGTTTGTTATCTCTGTTATTTATATTTTTTTCAATACATGTTACTTAGATGTTATTTTAAAATGGAAATAATAAATGCTTTGAAAAATAATTGTATACAGCATCAAAGAGAGGCCAAATGGCCAAGTAAGGCTAATTTTCCAAAGCTTAATGAAAACTTTATCATTAAAACATTATTTAGGGTAAACCTAAAGAACACCCTGAAGTCAGATCATTAATGACAAATAGCATTAAAGTAATGGTTGTAAGCTTCTTGTCATTATTTATTAATCTAAGGTTGAAAGTCTCATTCAAAGACATCTGAATGATCTGAATATTTTGCAAATCAAATTCAGAATTCAATGTCCACATTTAACTGGTCTGGTTTTCCGATAGTGCTTGGTGGTGCACAAACCCACCAGATAAACACTTCCTTTCCCAGATATTTCCTTTGGGTTCGCCGTTTCCCTTTCCAAGCAGCGACTGAAAAATTTAAAACATCACACTTGTTGTCTTGACATCCGCAAAGCAGGCTGCCGCAAAACGAGAGTGCTAACAAATTCGACACGTCTTCTAAGATAGGTTGAAAGCCCATTTCTGCTAAAAACTAGAGAGGACAGAAGCGTGTAAGCAACACGGAGAAACCCTAGTCTGACATAAATGCCAAGTGCGATGTTGCAAATCCCTCGATGAATTCAAGTGTAAAGAAGAACAACCACCCCACCTCCAGGTGAAAAAGGTGCTTTCATTAGGGACTTCGGGGCCTATTAATTTTAGAAGCAGCATCAGCCTCCCAATCGATGTCATCACTAGAAGCCCGCTGGGCTTTCATAATTCCCACTTGCTTAGCATCTTTCTACACAACATCAAGCTACAAAAAGACTGAAATGAATGCAAAGAAAAAAAACAAAAAACACGGCCAGATTCCAGGGAAGCCAGATGAGATTCAAAGGAAAGAGTTCAGCAAGCGGCAAATAATGGTCCCTCTGTCCCCAGGGCGCTGGAGTGGTGGTCCCCAGACGGGGCCAAATGGAGATGAAGA